AGGTCCTGGTGTTGGACTGGGGTAGACAAAGTCAGAAGGCACACGACACCAGGTTATAGTCCACCAGGTTCATTTGAAATCACAAGCTTTCGGAACACTGAATCTTTGTCACCTAACGAAGGAGCAGTGGTCCAAAAGATTGCAATTTCAAATAAACCTGTTGGACTATAACCTGGTGTCATGTGACTTCTGACTTTTTATCTTATTTATGCTTCTCATAATTTTATAGACCTCTATAAGGTCACCTCTCAGTCTCCTACGCTCCAGGGAAAAGAAGTTCCAGCCTATCCAACCTCTCCTTATAACTCAAACCTTTCAGTCGAGGTAGCATCCTAGTGAATCCTTTCTGCATTCTTTCTAGTTTAATAATATCCTTTCTGTAGTAGGGTGACCAGAACTGCATGCTGTACTCTAAGTGTGGCCTCACCAACGTTTTGTACAGTTGCAACAAGATGTCATAACTCCTGTACTCAATGCTGTGACTGATGAAAGCAAGCATGCCGAAAACCTTCTTCACCATCCTGTCTGCCTGTGACTCCATTTTCAAGGAGATATGAACCTGTACCCCTAGATCTCTTTGTTCTATAACATTCCCCAGGGCCCTACCATTGACTGTGTAAGTCCTGCCCTGGTTTGCCTTACCAAAATGCAACACCTTGCATTTATCTAAATTAAACTCCATCTGCCATTTCTCAGCCCACTGGCCCAGTTGATCAAGATCTCACTGCATTTCCAGATAAACTTCTTCATGTCCACTATACCACCAATCTTGGTGTCATCCACAAACTTACTAGCCATACCTCCTAAATTCTCATCCAAATCATTTATATAAATGATGAATAACAGTGGACCCGACACCGATCCCTGTGGCACTCCATTGGTCACAGGCCACTTTGTCAATATTATTTTCTTCTTTGCTTCTCCTCTCAGTTTATTGTGTTTGGCCTGGTTCTCATGTGAAGAATTTACTGAACATACATCATATTCTCTGACTCCTTCATCATCCAGGATTCTTGGCTTTGGCTCCTGCAGTTTTTATTCTTGGGGAAGTTGTGCAGTTTGTGCCGGAATTGTCTTCTGAAAAATCAGCAATTATTCATTAGTTTTTCATGTCAATCTCTTTAAAAGCCTCTTCACCAATGAGCATAAACTGACTGTTTTGTTATTGCTGAGTTTATCCCTATACCATTTTTGGGCAAGGGTATAACTTTTCCAAATCTCTAGTTCTGTTGCATCACCCCTGTATCTGAGGAAAATTGGGAGATTATGGGCCAGAAGCTCCCAATTTCCATTTGTACTTTCTTTCCTCAGTATCCTGGGATGCACCTTACTGGTAGCAAGTCAACTTTTGTTACAACCAGTGTATCTATTACCTCCCTTTATTAATTTTTAAACATCTCGTTGTCTCACTTATGCTCTTTCTCAAACTATCTGGCAATATATTCTTTCCTGATGAACGTGATACTTGGTGTCTTATCCATGTCCTCTGTCTGCACGTGTAAATTCCCTTTAAGGTCCCTAAGAGGATCCACTGTCCACTTTAGAAGACTTTTCTTGTAATTGTTACAGCACAGCACATTTTGTCCATTATGTCAATTGTATTTATGATTGGCCAAAACCTGTCCACAAACTACAAGACACAAGTCAAGAGTGTTACGGAATACTCCCCACATATCTGGATACATGCAGCCCTTGAGGTTCACCAGCACCAAGGACAAACCAGCCCATTTTATAGACACCCCATAAACCAATTTCAACTTTCATTACCATCACCACTGATGCACAGTGGCAGCAGTGTGTACCATTCACAAGATGCACTCTAGCAACTTAACAAATCTCCTTCAACAGCACCTTCAAAATCCATAACCTCTACCACCCAGAAATATAAGAGTGGCAAATGCATGGGAACACCACCACCTGCATGGTCCTTTCCAAAACACATGCCAACCGTGACTTGGAAATATCACTCCTTCACTGTTGCCGAGTCAAAATCCTGGAATTCCCTTCCAAACAGCATTGTCAGTGTCTCTACACCAGATGGACTGCAATGGTTCAGATGTCTCACCAATGACATCTCAATTACAGTTAGGGATGGATAATAAATGCTATTCTTGTCAAAAATGACACAGCCCATGAACAAAAAAAAAGAAATGTAACGTAACAGCTTCCATGGTTAGTATTACAGGCCCGATTCCAATATAAAATTCCATTGCCTTACGTTGTTGATTGGTCAAACCAGGTCGGTTAAGGCAGCCTTGAGGAGGAATTCATTGAATGTATCCGCGATAGCTTTCTTGAATAATATGTAATGGAACTGACAAGGAAGAAAGCTATCCTATATCTGGACCTGTGTAATGAGACAGGGATAATTAATGATCTCATAGTTAGGGATCCTGTTGGAAGGAGCAATCACAGTAGGGTTGAATTTAGGATACAGATGGAAAGTGAATGGATAAAATCCAATACCAGGATCCTGTGCTTAAACAAAGAAGACTACAGTAGGATGAGAGACGAGTTGGTTAAAGTAGACTGAAAGCAAAGACTCTATGGTGGAACAGTGGAGGACTTTCAAAGTAAATTTTCAAAGTTTAAAGTTTTCAAGAAGGTTTGTAGCTCGGGTTGTGGTGCTGTACCGGAAGTGGTACCAAACACCCCAACAAACTGAGGCATATAAATAACAAGCGGGACAGAACACCAACGCTTCACCAGAGGCACACTGACAATGTTACCTAGCAGGGTGATGAAATGTTTGCAACCAAACCCACCGGCTCGGTGAGCATGTCTATAATTTTTCAAAGTGCTCAGCAAAAGTGTATACCAGTGAAAAGGAAGGACTGTAGGAAAAGGAGTAATCAGCCATGGATGTCTAAGGAAATAAAGGAGGCTATCAGATTGAAAGATAAGGCACACAAAGTGGCAAAGACCAGTGGGAAACTAGTGGGTTGGAGAAACTTTAAAGGTCAACAGAAAGCCACAAAAAAGGCTACAAAAAAGAGTAAGATAGATTATGAGACTAAATGAGCTCAGAATAGAAAGACAGATGGCAAAAATTTCTATAAATATATAAAACAAAAAAGAGTGGCTAAGGTAAACATTGATCCTTTAGAGGATGAGAAAGGAGATTTAATAATGGGAAATGAGGAAATAGCAGGGGCATTGAACAGGCTCTCACGCTGGAGGACACGAATAACTTGCCAGTAATTGATGACCAAGAAACTAAGGTAGGTGAGGACCTAGACATGATCATTATCACGAAAGAGATAGTGTTGGCAAGCTAATGGAGCTAAAGGTAGACAAGTCTCCTGACCCAGCATCCCAGGGTGCTAAAAAAAGATAGTGGCAGCATTAGCAAATATGCTCGTGGTAATTTTCCAAAATTTGCTGGTCTCTGGGGCAGTTCTAGCGGTTCGGAAAACAGCCAATGTGATGCCATTGTTCAAAAAAGGAGGTAGACAAAAGATGACCCTATCGCAGGCCAGTTAGCTTAACTTCTGTAGTGGGGAAAATGCTTGAATCTATGAACAAGACATCTAGATAGAAATTGTCCCATTGGGCGGAAGCAGCATGGGTTCATGAAAGGCAGGTCACGCTTGACAAATTTGCTGGAATTCTGTGAAGACATTACGAGTATGGTGGACAACCAGGACCCAGTAGATGAAGTGTATCTGGATTTCCAAAAGGCATTCAACAAGGTGCCACACAAAATTCTACTGCATAAGATAAAGGTGCACGGTGTTACAGGCGATGTAATAGCATGGGTCAAGGATTGGTTAACTAATAAGAAGCATAGAGTGGGGATATATGAGTGCTTTTCTGGTTGGCGAACAATGATTAATGATGTGCCTCAGGGATCAATGTTGGGACCACAATTGTTTTCAATTTACTTACATGATTTGGACTTGGGGACCATGTGTAGTGTGTCAAAGTTTGCGGATGACACTAAGATGAGTGGTAGAACAAAGTGTGCAGTGGACTCTGAAAGTTTGCAGAGGGATATAGATAGGTTAAGTGAGTGAGTGGAAGTCTGGCAGATGGAATTCAATGTTGATAAATGTGAAGTCATCCATTTTGGTAGGAATAACAGTAAAAGGGACTATTATTTGAACGGTAAAAAATTACAGCGTGCTGCTGTGCAGAGGGACCTGGGTGTCCTTATGTATGAATCGCAGAAGGTTGGTTTGCAGGTGCAACAGGTAATTAAGAAGGTAAATGGAATTTTGTCCTTCATTGCTACAGGGATTCAGTTTAAAAGCAGGGAGGTTATGTTGCAGCTGTATAGGGTGCTGGTGAGGCCACACCTGGAGTACTGTGTGCAGTTTTGGTCTCCTTACTTGAGAAAGGATGTACTGGCACTGAAGGGGGTGCAGAGGAGGTTCACTAGGTTGATTCCAGAGTTGAGAGGGTTGGCTTTTGAGGAGAGGCTGAATAGACTGGGATTATATTCATTGGAATTTGGAAGAATGTGGGGCGATCTTATGGACACATATAAAATTATGAAGGGAATAGATAAGATAGAAGCAGGAAGGTTGTTTCCACTGGCGGGTGAAACTAGAACAAGAGGGCATAGCTTCAAAATAAGGGGGACCAAATTTAGGACTGAATTGAGGAGGAACTTCTTCACCCAAAGGATTGTGAATCTGTGGAATTCCCAGCCCAGTGAAGTAGTTGAGGCTTCCTCATTGAATGTTTCTGAAGCTAAGATAGATAGTTTTTTTGAATAGTAAAAGAATTAAGGATTATGGTGAGAGGGTAGGTAAGTGGAACTGAGGCCATGAAAAGATCAGCCATGATCTTATTGAATGGCAAAGTAGGCTTGAAGGGCCAGATGGCCTACTCCTGCTCCTGGTTCTTATGTACATCTAGAATAACAGGAGTGTAGGACTGTGTTGTATACTGGAAGTTAAATGAACTTCTGTAATTTCTCTTTCTGATATTTCTTTTGCTCACTTGTCGACCATTGGCCTGATTCTGGCTGTTTGTCTCATGATTGTGTTTTCCAGGTTTGTTCAGTCCATACATTAAAAACTCTGACTCAGAGTTCAGTTCTGGGATCTGCTGTATTAACATACACCAGTGACATGGCTACCCTGTGCCTGCAAGGGCTCAGCTCTGCATCCTGGGCCATGCGCAATGCAGCTATTCAACTTCTCAGTGAGTTTTATGCTGTTCTTTTCTGTCTGGAACCCTTCTGTTCAGAATCTTTCATCTTCTTGTTGCTCTCCTTTTTTCCCCTGGTGTCTCTTGGCTGCCTAGTCTCCTTCCATCTTCCTCTCCCCCTGTTTTTCCTGCCCTCAGTCATTCCCCTGCCCTGCGTGCTTGTCCCAGACTCACTGCTGCCCTGGATTGCATGGTTTCCTCTTTTCTCTCTATTCTCCTCTTTCCTCTCTATTCTCCTTTTTCCTCTCTATTCTCCTCTTTCTTCCTCAATACTATGTGGTAATAACACTGCCATGGATCTGTGTCTCCTTCCTCACAGGTACTTTAACCTGTCATGTGTTGGGTAAGAAATGTAGTGGAGATGACTCTGCATGGAGCGGGGTGACAGCGTGCGCATTCTTCTTGCACTACCCAGAATTGAAGAGCCTTCTCCTCAAAGAGTTGTATAATGCAACATGCCAACATTCTGCCCCTGTAGGAGGGCATCTTCACCTCTACCCCTCACTCCATTCCATTCTCAACCTGTTGGCGAAACTCCAACCAAGTGTAAATGACACAAATGGGTAAGGCAGAGAGACGTTTACCAATGAAGTACTATAATACATATGAATACTTTCTGAATCCTGATAAATTTGGTGGTCATTTACCTTTGAAATTTTAGGGACTTGACGATTATGAACTGGCATGAAAGCTGATACATGATGTAGAATGGTGAGGCAGGCTTGAGGGGGCTGAATGACATACTCCTGTTCCTATTTCTTATGTTCTTTTAGCATAAAATGCTATCAGTAACTGTATTAAAAACATATTACCCAATAATATGCCATTATAATTTGACATGTGAAGCTGTCAACACCTTTTAAACTTACATCAAAAAGTTCCCAATTCCAGACTAGCCAAATTTCAATCATTCATGTGTTCTTTGAGATGCCCTAAATGGTCACCTACGTCCATCGAAATAATGGAGGTTCTGAAATACCTAACCCATTATTGAAGATCGCAAGGGAGTGATCGCTGCATGCAGCCACACAACCTGCACCATGAAACTGTAACAATCTTTTAGAATGGGATTGGTGGTAGGAACCTCTTGAATCAGAAACTGCCCACCATTTTTGATTTCCCCAACTTCCATTCCAGTTTCAGGTTTTATCTTTCAGTGGTTGAAAATCATGTTCCTATGCCCATTGTATTTTCCCTACATCAGGGTTACACATCACAGATAAGACCTCATGATGTCTCTGACTCTGCGTCATTGATAAATACAGAGTATACTTCAGCCATAGAATGATAGAATCCCTAGAGTGTGGAAGCAGGTCATCTGGGCCCATCGAGTCCACACTGACCGTCTGAAGAGCATCCCACCTGGACCTACCCCATCCCTGTAACCTGCATTTCCCATGGCTAATCCACCTCACCTGTATATCCCTGGACGCTATGGGCAATTTAGCATGGCCAATCCACCTAACCTGCACATCTTTGGACTGTGTGAGGAAACCGGAGCACCCAGGGGAAAGCCACACAGACAGGGGGAGAATGTGCAAACTCCACGCAGACATTGATCAAGGATGCCTGAGCAAATTCCCTTTCTGGTCCTGAATTGGTTCCACTCCATTCACTATTTATATGTATCTATAGAAGACTTTGGGAGTGTTTTTATGTAACTTCAAGTCTCTTCTCATATTTTCTCTTTGCTTCTCTTATTTGTTTTTTTCTACATTCATACTTCTTCTCAGTTGCATTATCCACCTGATGTATGTCAGCACACTATGTCTTCTTCATTTTAATCTGTCTCTAATTTGTCATCCAAAGTTTTCCCTACCTTTCTCCTTCACAGTAATATACTTTGACTATGCCCGAGCCATCTTTGAACATAAGTAGGAATAAGCTATTCAGCCCATCAAGTCTGTACAGCCATTCAGTTAGATCATGTCCGATCATCTACCTCGGTGCCACTTTTTCATGGTATCTCCATATCTGTAGATGTCATTAGTATTGAGAAATCTGTCAATTTCTGTCTTGAACATGCTTAATGATCAAGTTTCCACAGCTGTATGGAATAGAGAATTCCAAAGATTCTTAACTCTCCTGAGTGAAGAAGTTTATCCTTGTCTCAGTCGTAAATGGAGACTTACTCTGAGACTTTATCCCCTGGTTTTAGACTCACTAGCCAGGAGAAACATCTTGTTTACATCCACTTTGTCACACCTTAGAGGAATTTTATCATTTTCAACCTATCATTTTTCAAAGCCCTACTGAAGACAAGATCAATTTCCTCAATACCTCAAGATGATCCTGCCATCCCAGGGACCAGTTTGGTGAATCCCCATTTCCCTCCCTCTATTGAAGCTATATCCTTCCTTAGTTAAAGAGATCAAATCTTCGCACAATACACCAGGTGCGGTCTCACCAAGGCTCTATACAACTGCAACAAGATATGTTTACTCCTGTGCTCAAATCCCCTTATGATGAAGGCAACAAACCATTTGCCCTTTCAATTGCTTGCTGCACCTGCATGCTAGCGTTTCATGACTCATAATTAAGGACACCAAGAGTCCTTTCATAATCTGCATTTTCCAACCTTTCACTATTTAAGAAATACTCTGTCTTTCTACTTTTTAACTGCCAAAGTGGATAACTTCACACTTACTTGCATTATATTCTATCAGCCATATTGTAGCCCATTCACTTAGCCTGTCCAAATCCTCTTGAGGCCCCCTTGCATCCTGCTCACAACTTACATTTATGCCCTGTTTGGTGCTATCAGCAAATCTGGAGATAATACAGTTGGTTCCTGACATCCAAATCATTTGTGTAGATTATGAACAGCTGTACACCTAACAATAATCTTTGAGGCACCACTAGTAACAGCCTGCCATCCTGAGAATGATCCATTTTTTCTTATTAAACCTGTCGCCTATTTTCCAAGGATCTGTATCCCTCTGCTCCCTGCCCATTCATGTATCTGTCTTGATACATCTTAAATGACGCTATCGTGCCCGTCTCTACCACCTCCGCTGGCAACGCATTCCAGGCACCCACCACCCTCTGCGTAAAGAACTTGCCACGCATATCTCCCTTAAACTTTTCCCCTCTCACCTTGAAATCATGACCCCTAGTAATTGAGTCCCCCACTTTGGGGAAAAGCTTCTTACTATCCACCCTGTCTATACCTCTCATGATTTTGTAGACCTCAATCAGGTCCCCCCTCAACCTCCATCTTTCTAATGTAAATAATCCTAATCTACTCAACCTCTCTTCATAGCTAGCGCCCTCCATACCAGGCAACATCCTGGTGAACCTCCTCTGCACCCTCTCCAAAGCATCCACATCCTTTTGGTAGTGTGGCGACCAGAACTATATTCAGTATTCCAAATGTGGTCGAACCAAAGACCTATACAACTGTAACATGACCTGCCAACTCTTGTACTCAGTACCCCGTCCGATGAATGAAAGCATGCCGTATGCCTTCTTGACCACTTTATCGACCTGTGTTGCCACCTTCAGGGTATAATGGACCTGAACACCCAGATCTCTCTGTGCATCAATTTTCCCCAGGGCTTTTCCATTTACCCTTCTTGAAGGTAATACCTGAAACACTGACTGCTCCTTTCCTTCAAATGCTGCCGGGCTTGCTGTGTTCTTCCACCCTCCTGTTTGTCTACCTTGGATTCCAGCATCTGCAGCGTTTTTTTTGTCTCTGGTCATTTGGATAACTGGTTTAACCAGTTTCAAAAGTCTATGAGTTAGGGGCCATAAAGGGAAAACTTATTCGGTGCTGCCTTGCCTGTGCTGGCGTGTTGCTTTTGTTGCAGTAGAGTATAACTGAAGTTGGATGAAAGAGGGAGGAGGTGATCATAGAATCTCTATTGTGTGGAAACAGGCCATTTGGCCCAGGCTCACCCCTCCGCCCTATCACTGTAACCCTGTGTTTCTCATGACTAATCCACCTAGCCTGCACATCCCTGGACTGTATGGGCAATTTAGCATGGCCAGTCCACCTAACCTGCACACCTTAGGACTGTGGAAGGAAACTGGGCCACCCAGAGGAAGCGCATTCAGTCACGGGTTTGTGCAAACTCCACACAGACAGTCGCCCAAGGGTGGAATCAAACCCGGGTCCCTTACGCTCTGAGGCAGCAGTGCTACCCACATTTCCCTCCTTTTGTTTCATTGGTGAGTATTTCTGCTGTTTCATATCCAAGTAAGATCTTAGGGAAACAGGAGCATAAAGAAAAAAGCAACCTTAAGGAGCTCGTACAGTGCAAAGCACTAGAGGTCAGAGAGAGAGAGAGAATCTGGCAAGGAGCAGCTAAACAGAGCAGTGTGAAACTTGTCAAAGGAGCAGCTCAGCATTATCTTCACTCAATCCAGAGGCTGAGCTCCTGAGGTAACGTCAGGATTCAGAAGTGACACAGGACAAGTGGAAACTGGAGATTGGGTGAGTACAGAGGGTGAGTATTTGTACTACAATTGTTGCTTACAGTTTGTGAAGTATTTGTTTTGTGGTTTATAGTTTGTAAGGGCTCTATTCTGTTCTAATGAGGTCAAGGGAAGAAGGGCCCTGAAGTAATTTGCTATTTGAATTTAAGAGCCCCTTAAAGGTTAAGTCCAAAGGGGCATGTCATGTCAGAAAAGTTCAAAGTCGTTTTCTGCTCTTCCTGCTATATGTGGGAAGCCAAGCATATTTCCACTGTCCAGGATCAGCACGTGTGCAGGAAATATCTCCAGATACAGCTCCTGGAACCCGGGATTTGGAACTGGAGCAGCAGCTAAGGACACTGTGGGGTATCCACGAAGCTGAAAGTATTGTAGATAGCACATATAGAGAGGTGGTTACATGCAGGCTAAGACTCCACAGGCAGGAAGGGAGTGGGTGACTACCAGGCAGAGTAAGATGACTAGGCAGGTAGTGCAGGAACCCCTGTGGCTAATCCCCTGCAAAACAGATATACTGCTTTGGATACTGTTGAGGAGAATGACTTTTGAGGGGAAACCAGTAAGAACCAAATTGGTTGCACCATTCTTGGCTCATTTGCATGGGAGAGGAAGAGAAAGTGTGGAATGAAATATTATAGAGAATTCAATTGTAAGGGGAATAGATAAGCATTTCGGTAGCCGCAAACAAGACTCCAGATGGTATGTTGCATCCCGAAGGGATGACGTCCTAAAAGCAGAATATAGGTAGTTAGGAAGTAAATTGAAAAGAAGGAGTCTAAGGTAGTGATCTCAGGATTACAACTAGTGCCATGTGCTAGTCAGTGTAGGAATAACAGGCTATATAGGATGTCTGTCAGCTGGAGTGATGGTACAAGGATTTCGATTCCTGGGACATTGGTATCGGTTTGGGGGGAAGTGGGACCAGTAGAAGCTGGACAGCTTATACCTGGGCAGAACTGAAATTGATGTCCAAGGGCAAGGATTTGCTAATGTGGTTGGGGCAGGTTTAAACTAGAATGGCAGGGTAGGGGTGAAACCTAAACAGGGTGACAAAGGAAAGCGAAACAAGGACAACAATAAATAAAGAACAGTAAAGTGCAAAAACGGTAGACAAGGTAATCAAGGG